TTGCTTCTATTTGGTTAGGTCATGAAGACTCAGGCTTTAATTGTTGAAGTAACTAGCGTTACTCAAACTAATACAATTCTAAAGAAAAAACATCCTGATATTTTTGGTGATGTATTACTATGTATTTTCATATTTAAAAATGTACATTCTATTTGAAATACTAAAATTCTAGAAATGCATGTTATAATCACCAGATTTGTTTTCCAATATAATTTATCTCTTGCCAGTAATTGAGGTAGTTTAATAAAGAATAGATTTTGAATAGGTAGAAAAATGTGAGAAGGAAATTTTACACAAAACTGAGCAAAAGTGTAGAAACTTGACAAACTAAATATTACATTTAAATATGCTTAACACCATAAACAAGCTTAATATTATATTTAAATATACAATACATCATTGCTTAATGAATGTGGAATGATTTAGAGATGACAGTTGACTACATATATAAAAAAGCCAAATAAAATATCACTACTTAAGAACAGATAACTTCTCTATAGAGAAAGAACTGGAAGTCTTTCTGAGTCTAAGAAACTTTGCTTTCTTAAATGGAACTAGCTAGTTCCACATCGACCAATTTTACTTCTGTGAAACCCTTTCCCTATGCTCAGTACCAGGACAATAGTAAGGCCTAGTTTGAATGTTTAGCCCAGATATGTAAACACATACAGAAGCTGGCTTCTGTATCCTGAGTGCCTGGAATAGAATATTGATCTTGTTTTTTACCCTAAAGTAGTATTTGATACAAAGAGAATGCCCTGGTTATAATACAAAACAAAAACAAAAACAAAACAAAACAAAAAACTGAGAAGGTAGCTTAGGAAAGGAACAAGAATATATTCCCCTCTGAATTACATGTTTTCTCCCTTGACTATCTGTGAGGCCAATTGATGCAGCAAGGAACATTAGGAATCCTAGAATTTTCCCTTGACTGGAGCATAAGTAACTGGCTTTACTACTCTCTTCTTTAAGTTTCTAGGAGTCATTTTGCCAGATGGGCTCCCAGTGTTGCCAAAAATATAAAACTGAAAGAAACCAGTAGTTGTTTTTGATTTAAGGATTGAGGAAACATAAGAAGATATGTAAGCCCAAAGTGAACTGGGGAAAACGAAGATTAAGTACTAATACCTGATTTAATAGACTTTGGAGATTCTCCATCTCTCTCTCAAAAATCTCTTTTGTTAACATCACTTATTAAGCCATGGTAACTCCACTATTCAGTTAGGTCTGGGCCACATTCTTTTCCTTTTACTATTTTTTCTTAGTTATGTCAACTTTAAGAGTTTTGCAGGCACCTTAAGTGGCTAGAACTAGTAGGGTCTTCTACAAAATTATAAAGTCTTGTTAACTTGCACATTAAATAATTATTTTCAGTTCTAGAATGGCAAGAAACTTTTAAGCTCATACAGACAATGAAGAATTGTTGAAGGTCTTGTAGGGCAGGGATGTGCTCAAAGTTGTGTTTTGGAAAAATTACCAAAGGTCAGGAAGAAATGAAGCTGGAGAAAGTGGTTAAAATAGCGTGCAGGTAATAAAGCAGTGACAATAAAAATGCAGAGGAGATAGTGAATATAAGAACCATTTCCAAAAAAAAGGTAAGATTTGTTTAAAACATGATTAGCTGTGTTTTCTATTTTTACAAACAACTTAAAATGTTCAACAGCAACTGAAAATGCAGGATCTATGAGAGACAAAGGTACTAGGTCTGAAGATACTAATTTGGAAGATAACCTGGTAATTGCATTTAAAATGATCTAATGTTTCCTTCAGCTTGACTCAATTTTAGACAGGTTTATCCTGGTTTACATACTCTGACCACTACCCTGCCTGCAACCCCTGACCCCCTTTTTAGAGTATTTACTTTAGAAAATGCAATTGTAAATTCTCTTTCTGCCTCTTTGAGATGTAACTCTTCTCTTCCCTCATCAGATTTACAACTGAAAAGAGCTTTTTCAAGGATTTGAGTGCCATTCCTTTGAAATGTAATCATCAGGAAAGACAGAGACTTTATCTCTCAATCTCCATGCCAGAGTAGGAGCCTAACTTTAATAAACGCCAATTAGCCAACACTAATGGCTTAATCACATTGAACCTTCTCTCTCTTCATATCTTCCAGTACTTTTCCAGTAGCTCATCCCAGGGCTTAAAACTCTCTTGCCTTTTGTCTTAGTGGAGTTGAGTTCAATCTCTAGTAGTCTTAAATAAAGCCTGTTTAATTTGTCCAGTGCAGTTTTTCTTTGACATAATCATTGGAGCCATAAAAGTGTTGAAAGTATCCAAGAAAGAGAGTGAGAAAGAAAAAAAGGCCATTTAAGTATCTTGAAGAAACTCCACCTGTTAATTACAGGACCAGAGAAGGAAATGAAAAAGTAGAAAGAAAACCCAGTAAGTGTAACACAGAATTCAAAGGCCAAGAGAATTTCAAGAAGCGAGATGTCAACGGCATCAGTTCTGCATATGGGAAACATTTATTGAAAAAATTGTAAGGAAAAATAATTAGCTAAAATGAGCAGGAAATAAAGACTGGTATTTATTCTACCATCCTTATTAAATGTGTACCATGTGTTATGCCATTTCAAGGCTTGGGTCTTAAAGGTAAGAAAACTAGGTCCAGCTCTCCTACAACTCACATTGAGTTAGAGAAGAAAATATAAATACCAGAAATGTTAGATGCGATTAGGAATTTGAAGAGTGTTTGAATATAAAGTGACTAGTGGATATTTTGGATTGGAGGGAAGTGGGGACAAGGAAGGGCTCTCTGAGGAAGGGATAACTTAGCTGTGAATTGACTGACCAGAAGGAACTAGGAACACAAAGTATATAAGCTACAGCAAAGGTCCTATTCCAAGAACAAATTGATAAAGTTCAAAGATGCCAAGTCTGGCAATAGCACAGTGAGCAAGGCTGTAGAAGATGTTTGGATTTATTATCAGTGTGATATGAAGCTACTGGAGGGATTTAAACAGAAGAATGGTGTAAAGTTTGTGTTTTAAAAGAATAACGAACAGTTTTGTGGAGATTGCATTTTAGAGATGCATGATGGGAAACAGAGTCCCGGCAACCCTCCAGGTTACAGACTGACTGCAGTGGCTTCCACAAGGGTTCATTAAGAAAGCAGTTTCAATGGAAAAGAGGGGCTAGGAGCCAAATTTACATGGGTGCTGGGACAGCTGGCATCTTTTTTGCTTGTGTGCTTCAAATGTGAGATATGGATGCTTGAAATGAGCATATTACTCTTCTACATGTAAAACAATATCAAGATTTTCAGAAGAGAAGAATGAATATAAAAAAGGAAGTGAGTTCACTGCAGAAGGAGTTTAAATTTTGAAAGAAGAGCAAGAATAGAAAAAGCAGTTCTGTGAAGATGGTACTTGAAATGTAAACCTTTCCATAGTCTATAAATAAGCAACTCCTTCCACTTTCTTTCTCCTTTAGAAGAAGAGTGTACAGGGTGGTTAAAAAAATAATGAAACAAAATCCAGCAAATGTTAATTTGAGTCACTAGAGCTTCGGTCATTATTTTGGGATTTGTAGATCAATGTCAATGTATTTTTGTTGTATCAGCTGCCTCTGGGCTCTCTGGGTTTCAGAGGAACTAAGCAGAAAAGTTGGGATGTAAGACCAAAACAAAAACCAACCCAAAACAATAGTAAAGCCACATTTTTCCTAGTAATTTTCCTTCCAAAGAGGGTTATGGAAATAGGGCTAAGAATAGTGTTCACTGGACGGGAGACTAGTGGGGCTCTGAAAAGATTCAGAATATGAAGTTCACGCTGAAAAGTAATTTAGTGCATGTGACCAGCACTTCACTATTGTGACCTTCCAGCTCCTCAGCTGTCTTATGTGAATTATAATTTCATGAATGCAATAATCAGAGGGGAACCCTTGTTTCATAATCTATTGCTAATGACTTTCAAAAGTGGAAGAAACTTTTGCAGCTGCAACAGCAGCTACGGCCTACAGGAAACACTTTTTTGACTTGACACCCAAAAAAGACAAAGTTGAGCTTTGATGGCATGTAGTTTTCCTAGAGAATGTTCTCTCAACTAGAAATGAATCCCTTAAGTCTCTTTCTCCCTCTGCCCCCAGTGGATTCTTTCTAGGAGCTAGACAAAAAGGTGAAATATTTTGATGGCATTATGTGAGCATATTGTAATTCATTTCAGAAAATGTGTCATAATAAAGATTCTTTATTAGATATACCATTTGTTTCAAGAACATTGAGATCTGCCAGATTTCCAGAGATAGAAATTATTATCATCTTACTGACAAGAAATGAAGAGATCTTATAAAGATCTCTTCTATAAGTAGCTGGAAAGTTGGCCCAGAATATCACCAATATCTCTTGTGTTTCTAAGATTATATAAAGTCCATGGCTCCTGTTGGAAGCAAGGGATTGAACCTCTCATCTTGACTCCTGAGCTAAATCCACAAAGTCTGACCTTTTGGAAAACAGTTTGTGTGCATTAGGGGCTAGGGGGAGTGGAAGATGTTTTCAAATACTCTGAGCACAGTCTGCTACTTGTTTTTTAAAGCTCCCAGGACTTCTAGATGTTATTTTTCCCATAATAAGCATATGAAAGGTGAATTTTTATGGCTTGAGGATTGGTGTGAGTTTCATTCATGGTCTGCTTTGCTATACTACTTTTAAGAGCTGAAAGTGTATATGTCATCTCTAATTGGAACTCCCAGGCAGAAATGATGCCATCGGGGAGCTTAAAATATGTAGCCATATGAATCACCTTGAAGACCAACCATATTGCTATAAAGCAAATAATTTACATTTAAATAACTTATCTGCATTCACCTAATTTAAAAGTAATCTTTATTCTTTCTCAACTAATCCCCAAACTTATGGACTAGTTTGATCATATTTGTGCAATAAAATTGAAATTTTCAGATATAGTAGGTAATCAATTTTAGTCACCTCATCTGTGTTTCCAATCTCATTACAGATTGCAATTTTCAGTGCAGATTACATGATGACCCATCAGTGGCTTTGTTGTTTCTGAATTACCGATTCCTTGCCTACTGCCAGATAAGAACAAAGCCTATGCATCAGCCTGACAGCTTGCAAACAGAAAATGGGCTTGTAGGATTGGATTTAAATCCCAGGTGTAGGGGATAATTACCACATCACTCATGCAGTAACTGAAAAATGGTATTTCAACAAGAAAAATTACATTCCTTTTATAGTGCCAACAGAAATCATTATTTGAGGCTTCACACTGATTCACTGTATCATTACATGTGCACTGTACTCATTAAATGTAATGTTTGTTGCAACATAAAAAAGTTATTGTTTTAGGTACTTTGTTGGAGAAGGTAGCTTAAATTTAAGGTTTGTAGAACCTTGATGGTGTAGAGGTCGTTTGGACTCTAATATATACTGTGCAAGAGAAATGACAACCCAGACGCAGAGCTTTCAACTGGCTCCTATTACAGGAGGCGTGGATGGATAGTACAAAGAAAATGGAGTATAAATCTTTTGTTTCAAAAACCCCAGCCATTTAACCCTACAGTCTGTCCAGAGAAAGAGTACAAATAATGATTCAAATCTTGACAGAGCGGTGCTGAATAGTGCATATTTTACCATTAGCTTTGAAATCATTGAAGCCCAACATATACATTCTAAAGAACAGAAGGACAGAGACTATATTCATTTGAAAAATCATAAAAAAAAAAACAGTGGCAAACATACTGGAAATGCCGTCTTCATCCCTGGCATTCAGTCCATACCCACAAAGCTGCAGTTGTTTCCCAGTGATTGTGCAAGCAGCACAATAATGAAAGTGACATTCAGCAGAGTCGTTCGTAGGTGCAGAAGGCTATGTGTCAACTGCTGAGAGCAACAACTTAGGCTGCATTAATCAGATCCCTAGTTATATTTATGGCCAACTGGCTTTCTCATTATGATCAAAATCATGCAAAAAAAAAGAAAATGACTTCAAATTTGCTGTATTCTTGCATGAACGTCGCAAGGAGGCATTGACTATTTGATAGACATAGGTAAGTGTGTGGTGGGGGGTTGGTGGATGGGTGGGTAGATAGTTAGATTAGATATATAGATAGATGATAGTTGGATAGATGGATGATAGAACTTTATGTGTCAGCTATAATGTCTTTCCCTGGAATTCCTAAATTAATATTTTGAGCCTATTCTCCAAAGTGCAGGGAGAGACGTTTGTGAAGAGGCTTAAAGCGCAGTTGTGAATTGCTGAAAGATGTCTTTCTAATCTTCTATTCCTCTCACCTCTGTAGTCTTTTGTCTTTACAATCTCTTGAGGATGGCTGAGGCCTTGACAAATACTGAAGCGGGCCTGAATGTGTGGAGGATATGCAAGGTTTTCAATTTCTCTTTAGGCGTAGAAAAGTACTTGCAGCAACAGACTTATTTTTCTAAGAGCTGGTTCCTATTCCTTTATATCCTAAGGAAAAATTCATTTGGTCAGGAGTGGTGTGTTCAGATGTGCTGCCTGTTCTCAAACAGCCTTCAATCTAGTTGGAAAAGAAGGACGTTGAAGTAAAAAAAAAAAAAAAAAGTAACAAAATTACAAGTGTTAGGGGCTAAAAGAGTAACAAGGTCATAGATCCTACAGAGGCGGCAGTAACCTCTGGTAAAAAGGAGCTGAGCATGGAAAAAGAGACCATAAAGGAAGATAAGTCCTTAAACTAAAGAGAGGGCTGAAGAGCTCCAATAGTAAAATCTTCTTTAGTGATGATATGAAAAGATAATGTGCTACTTTAGAGGTAAGCTTATCAAAAACAGAAGCTGGCATTTGCTGATAGTTCTCAGGACCTCAATCATATTAATCTGAACCTTATAAACCTTAATCATAATAAAAATGGACATTTATGTGCACTTTTTCTCTAAAGCACAGTGCTAAGCACTTGAGATGACTTATTTACTTCTCACACCCATCCTAGAAGGTTGTTGTCACACCATTTCGAACATGTGAAAATTGAGACATGAAGGGATGAAGTAGTCTGCCTGAGAGACGGAGTCTGGATTTGAACCAAGCCTATCTTTCTACAGAGTCTGCAGAAAGATTAAGTTAATCCTTAGACTACATAGTTATAATACCGTCACAGGAGATAAGAAACTGGAAAATTTTTAAAAATCCTTTTTGTTCTCATGTACAAAGCTAACATCACCTAACCCTGGTCATTTACCAACTAACACATAACAAGCTTCTAAGTAAATATGCATTGTGTTGATGGCCATTTAAAAATAATGATTTGAAGATCCAACTAACAGTCATAAAAACACGTATTTCAGATGTGGGTGAAATCTTACATTTTCTTTAAAGAGCAACTCTGAGTTCTGGCAACGCCAGTATTTAAATTCTGTGTTGTTGGTGGCATTTCATTCTTTTTCTTGAAATGCAAAGCATAACCTATTCCACCCACTCAGAAACTCAGCAAACTTAAAGAGATAAGTCCCTTTGCAAGGATGCCTTGGAGGAATTTATTCCCCAGGCTTATCAGGGAGAACAATGTGGGGTTGGTTCTGGATCACGTGGTCATATTAGAAAATACATTAAAATGCAGGCTGACAAACAAAACCAAATGCAAAATTACCATTCTGTTCTGCTCCTGACAGCACTGTGGAGAATGTGATTTCTCTGTATTCGTGCCATCAGGGCCTTACATGGTATGGTTTAATTGGAGGTCAACATGTGGTTGAACTGGAGATTGTAAGCTGTGTTCAGAAATTAAAACTGACCAGACATGAATGTTATTTCTCACCTGCTTAGACCTTATAGTACACAGGCCAGATTTTCCATGTGATATCCCTGTACCTTCTCAGCACCCCATCTCTGGTCACACTTGCTCTACTTCTCCTAATTTAGTAAGAAACCGAGCAGCCACATTCATCTAAGAATCTCTGTGCAGTGAGGCTGATCAAATACTTCCCCTATGTGAATAAATTGGCTGTGCCCAGAGTACAAAATCTGCTGTGTATTCTTAAAAGGAATGCGATCAGACCATGTGTGATTTACAAACTATCCAGTATTTTCATTGAGACATGAAAATAAATGGATTTGGTCATCATTGCAGCTCAGCTGTTTCTCCTGAGGCTAGAGAGATTGCTCCTTTGGCCCCATGGCATGCCCTTGTGAGACTGGTGAGAAAGCAGCTGCTTACATTACCTGAGAGAACTCTCTTTAAAAGCCTCTGTTGCTCTAAAGAGCTTTGCTGCTTAATTTTGTTTTTCCTGAACGTGTGTTAGATGTCGCCCATTGATGCTGCCTCCTGCTGCCTCATGGTTCACTGCTGGGTTGTGTGAGGTCTCCATGCTTGAGAAAGGTGCTGTACAAATGGCACAGAGAATATCTTATTGTGTGGGAGTCTAGGTCAGGCTGGGGAGGTCTCAGAGCATTAGCAACCTGCATGCCTGTAGCCTGGGAGGTAAGAAGTAGAAGGTTGGGGGTGGTACTCTTCACAAGCCAGGTATGAGTACGTGAAATGACTAGCCTAAAGTCACATAAGAAAGGAGAGACAGGCACAGAGCTAGGGGAATAGCTTGCACAGAGTTAAGCAGAAAAGAAATCATATATTTGCCTTACCCACTGCACCTCTTCATTCTTTGTTAACTTGGCAAAATGGCTTTATGTTTTACATGACAGGCAGGTTTTCCTCACTTTCCTGTTGCTGGTCTTATGACTTCTAAATGCTTCACTTTGTTTTTTAACTTAGCCCTATGAAACATGATTGTGTGAAGAGGAAGAATAAAATTTGTCCCCTTTGGGCAAGACCAAAACGTGGCAATGAAGACTGAGACATTAACTGGCTATCCTAGGTTTGTGGGTGGCTAATGTTGCCATGTGCCATCAAAGACGAGCATTGAATTGTTCAGTGGTAGAAACGTGAGTAAATTGTTAGACCTTGTAAAATGAAACACAAATTCTTTTGCAGTTTCTAAAATTCTGGGGCAGCCAGTAAGGCCATATTGGACATAATTATTGCTTAACTGAATACATGAAATTTAAATTGTCATAGCATCTTTAAGTAGAATATTTTGGAAGACCTGAAACTGGAGATAGGCTATGACCCATGAACTATTTCTGAGCTTTCCTTAACTGTTCTTAAACCCAAAGTTCAGCAGAATTGCTCCAGGGCTAGCTTGTACACTTAATTAATATTTATTAGTCACCTACCAGCAAAAATATAAAACTTTTTACAGTGCGCTTGGCAGAAGAGGAGCAACACCATATTCTGCTTTCAATCATTTTATAATCTAGTAATGATTAAAGCCTCTAACGAAGTTATAACATCAAATAGATAAGAGTTCTGGATTATAGACCCCAGCAGATAGAGGTCATTTTTAGTGGGTGTGACTAGAGAAAGATTCCTATGGGGGTGCTTTCGAGTCAGGTCTTAATGAAAGGGTAGCATTTGAAGAGCAGAGATGAGGAAAAAATACATAGGTGGAAGGAAAAGCAAGGCAAAGCAAAGCTGTGTAGCTAGACTGGAACATAGGCTGTTTTTTTTTTTTTTTTTAGGAGTAGAGGAAGAGGGCTGCCAAACACCAGCTCGTATTTCATCTGATAAACGATGGGAATGGAGGACAGTGGATGCTGCAGTTCAAGAGAGCATCAGAGGCAAAAATATATTTTAGGAAGGTACAGCTAGAACTAGAGGCAAGGGACCAGTTAGGAGGCTATTGATGGTCCAGGTGAAAATAACAAGCTCTCAAATGACAGTGGAAACAGTGAATGAGGAAAAGAAGAGACAAAGGTGAGAGGCATGGAAGGCTTGCGGGACTCCACCAGAATGTATGAACAGTGGCAGAACTCTGAGTCTGAAGAGATGCCCATATTTAACAGATAGCAGGAGAAGGATGCACCAAAAGGAAGATGGACAAAAAACAGAAGAGAGAATTCAAATCAGCATTGAATTGTATCGAAGGACCCAAAGCAAAGAGAGATTATTCAAATAGGAGCTCAAGGTCAATAATATCAAATATGGTAAGGTCAATGAGAAGAGTGATAAATAGCCATTAGAATTCAAAATTGAGAAGTCACTGTTCACTGCCAAGAGAAAAGTTTCCAATTACAAAAATTCAGGGGTGAAAAATGGTAGGAAGGTAGATATATAGCTCTCTCAAGAGAGTTTATAGTGTAAGTTGGTGAGGATGTGAAGGAAATAAGCATGAATATGAAGATGATGGCAATGTACACAGGCATAGTCTTCCTGGGGAGCATTCTGGTGATGAGAACTTGAAATGGGTACTCCTTTGATCCTGAAAATACTTCTTTAAATTTATTTTAAGGAAATATTGTTGAGAATTAAAATTGATTTACAAGGACATTATAGGTCTTTATATAATAGGGAAAATTTTTAAGTAACTTAAATGAAAGTTACATGTGCCAAAGAAAGTAGAACCATATAACTCATATGAACTAAAAAAGGGAGAAACAATAATGGTGGTGGAGGACTCAGGATTATGTCACAACTAGCTAAAAATATGAGTACTTCAAGAATTTAATGTCCTAAACTATTATGAATAGAACCAAATAGAACCAAAATAGAACCTACAAAAATCCATTGTATTAGAATCCTGGCAAACGAAAGAGTTTATAATGTAACTGTTATTAAGTGAATTAAACAGGTTATAAATCAATAAGCAAGGTGGGTGGGATTTCATTTTTAAGTGTAACTATACATAACACATATTGTATACAGGTTTGCATATTTGTGTAATACATGTGCACATATGTACATATATACATATATATGCACATATTTGTGATACATATAGCCAGATATTTTTGTCTGCCTGTTCAGACTAACATGTATACATCTCTATCTTGCACTCTGCCTTGTATCTTCTAACATAATTGGGCCACTTCCACAGGCTTGCGTTTGTGATACTAGGGTTAGGGTTAAGTTATAAGGAAATTCTCAATATTTCTTTAAAATAAATTTAAGGCATAAGAGTGGTCAGAGAAAATGAAGTGAGAGTCTATGTAGGTATTCCCCCAGCTGCTCTTCTGTTTAGTTAT